CCCCTGTGTGCCTTGGCGAGTCTCAGAATCAACCCAAAGGGCTGTTAGAATAGTGTAAGCCCAATGGCCCAGATTAAAACTGTTGGAACTGTTTAGATGGGTGGGGTTGGCTGTGGGGGTAGGTGCAGATATTATGGGCTTTGGTTCTACTTGAAATCATCTTTCCGGACCTGAGAGCTTTTTCATTTTGAACATTCTATACCAGCACAATGTTAAGATCCTGTTATTTTTTCAATGATTGGTGTGGAAGTTTTTCATTAATCTCACTCATGTTTCTCAAATATTGTTCCCAAGAAAGTTTATTGTTTTTCGTGGTCTACGAATTGCTTTTCTTTTAATATAATTCTACCGAAGTACTTATTCCATATGTTTTTATAATGTTAATTATTTGTATTCTTGTATATTAGCAATTCATTCAGGCAATCATTTGACGTGAGCTAAGGAATGGTAGCTGTTTGCTGGATAGTGTACTTCTTGAAGGAAAATCTTAATTGATTTGTAGGTCATGTTTAGTAGGCCTATTCGATGGATTCTAGCTCTTCATGGGAGTGCAATAGTTCCGTTTGTGTATGCGGGGGTGTTAAGGTAACCATTGAATTTCTCCATCTTATTTGCTTTGCACATTAGATATCAAAAATGCATTTAGGACTTTTTCAGAGAATTGTGTTGATTGGAACCAGTGTTAGGAAAACTGGCTGGTTAGAACCGGAACCAGCTGGTTAGATCGGAACCGCTAGGGTTCCGAGTCCGGTTAGGGCCGGTTTTGTGTGTCTATTAGCCCTATGTGATACCCCTATAAAATGTACGGCCCAAAATCGGCCGGTTAGGGGTTGAATCGGTCGTGTTTTTGTCTAACAGGCCGGTTTTCTGCTAACCGGACCAGTTAGCCGATATAATGGCATTTTTTGGGAAATAACCATAAAGTATTAATTACGAGCGTTATTTCGAAATAAAGGCCATTATATGTAGCAGGAAAACTATGAATCCAAATTTTCACCTTTCTTTATTCACTTTCCGGCCATTTTTGGCTTTTTTTCATGCTTTAATGTTGTAAATCACTATCTAATGAATACAAAACAAGGAATTTGGATTTAAACATGGAAAAAAAAAGAGTTTCTTGGATTGAAATGGCGGATTTTCTAGGTTTTTTAAAAATTCTGCCATTCTTTCAATAATATCTTCAATACCTAATGGTTCTTGAAGAAATTTGAGGGTTTTGATACCTATTCAAAGTATTTACCAGATTCATGTTTCAATTTGTTCAAAACACCAAAGATCGTGGGTTGAATTTGGCCCGAAAAGCTGCTATTCAGAGAACCTATGCTTGATCCAAAAAAGCATATTTTTGATCCATTTATTGGTCCTTTTTTTATCAAATTGAGTTGTGGATTTCGATCATCGAGGCTTCATATCTCAAATAAAATCGGTATGTTTATTTATGATTGATTAAATTTTTTAATATGAATTTTTGTGTTGCACGATGTCTTGAAAATTGCATAGATCTGAAATTTCCGCCATTTTATCAATTAAATCCAAAATGCCTGATATTTTTTTATGAGATTTGGTGCATTTTAAAGATGATCGAAGCCTTTACAATGTGTGTGTGTTGATTTGTTCGATTATTCGAACATTGATGGTTGTTTCTTGCTCGAAATGTTGCTCGATTTTAGGGGTTTTTGAGAACTCGATTTTTCTAAAAAAAAATATTTTTCTTAATAAAATTATGCTTTTTGATGAATATGGGAAGTGGTTTTCTATTTTGCTTAATAAAATTATTTTTTAATAAAATTATGTTTTTTGATGTATATGGGAAGTGTTTTTCTATTTTACTTAATAAAATTATTTTTTGATAAAATTATGTTTTTTTTAATAAAATTATGTATTTTGATGAATATGGGAAGTGTTTTTCTATTTTTCCTAGTAAATTTTTTTTTTTGATAAAATTATTATTTTGAATAAAATTGCATTTTTTGATGAATATGGGAAGTGTTTTTCTATTTTCTTAATAAAATTATTTTTTTGATAAATTTATTTGTTGTACTGTTTTTATATGGAAATATAGAACAATAACAACATCCTATCCTGATTATGGCCTCAAAGGATGCTACTTTAGTTTGCATTGTTGTAGAATAAATATTCATTTTCCTATTGCTTTCTTAACTGATCATTCTATTTCTGAGCAAAAAGATCCGAAACCCTTCTCAAATTTTAAGCTTTAGATTTGATAGTAGGCTCGAGAAAAGTGGTTACCGATCCATCTTGGTCATCTACAAAAATGTTTTTCTTGCGATAAATGTAGGTAATAAGACAATATCACTAAAGCTATGTTTGTTTTTTTTTGGGGGGGGGGGGAGGGAGGGGGAAGGATTTTTGGCCTATTTTTTTTAAAAAAAATTCTATCGGACCGGTTAGTCTGGCTAACCACCCAGTTAGTCCGATTATGGTTCTAAGCGCTCCAAGCCCCATGTTCGGTTAACTGTTCCGGTTAGATTTTGCGAACACTGATTGGAACACACTTTATCATCTCATTTGTTTTCTCCATCGATGCCGTAATATTTTTTCCTTTAAAAAGTCCCAGAATCATCTATCTTTAAGACTGTCCTTTGAGAAACTAATCCTTCATCCTCCATCTCTCTACAGTTACATGGACATTGACACAAGTGTTAGAGTTCAAAATGTTTTGACGGTCCATAACAATGCACACAAACATGTATATTATCAACAACACAACAGGTCCATACAATAGAGTCCTGATTGGGCAATAACATCAATTGTTTTTTCATCCGATCATTTAGGCTTCGTCTGCCATTCTTCATGGGGGATCCAATTGTTTTAACCCAACGTTTCTACAAAAAGCCTTTTAAATGCCCATGAGACAAAAAAAAGAACACTTTTTTTCTCAATTTTAGAAACACACATGCTTGCACAGACATACATTGTCTATTGGTATGTGGATTACGTGTTGCTTCTGCTGAGAGGTTGAACAAACTTTATTTTTTAAAGTATCTAATTTAATTGACTGAATTTCTTTTTTCATTTTTAAGTCATAACTGTTACTTCAGTGGTAGTTTAATTTTCAGTCTAACCTTTTTTCGAGTTTTTTTTCCCTTAATTTTTTTAATTTGCAGATAAGTTAAATAGTCTTATTAAAATTAATAGTTTGGTAAGAATAATCAGCCTATAAAAGTCCTTCTAAATTTTCTTTTCCCTTTCATTTTTTCTTTTTGCGTGCTCCTATTTCTTCTCCATAACAGATTATTTTCCTAAAATCAGGATTTGAATAAAACATTGTGGAGATTCTGAAGGAGAGATGGACATAATTTTCTTTGGCAACTTTATGATTGGATTTATATAAAGAATCAAAGAGATTCTTGGAAGAGAGTTTACAGAGTGGGAGAGAGTGAGACATAAGGAAATTTGAAAAGAAAAATGAGAGTTGTGAGAAATTTAAAAGCCAGTCTCCTATTTATTCTTCCTCATGTGTGTGTTTGTTGCCACTGTATCAAATGTAGCCAGATGGTATGCATAATAGATTTTAAAATTATATAAATCATCCTAGCATTAATAATGGAATTCTCTAAGATTATATTTAACATTGACAAGCTGCTTGAGGTATCAAATAACGTGTCAAGGCAACACTGTTGCTTACTCCTCCCATAGGCATGCTACCTTTCTGATATCTACCTTGGGATGCATGGAATATAGTAGACCCCTAATCTTTTGTTAATTGGATAGAGGACCTCACAGACTTCTCAGAAGGTGATCTTCTGCAATCAAGTCTGGTTCTCAGTATACCCATACTGATTTTATTTAGTTTGATTTTTCCTCTTTTAATGAAACATTCTACTTTTCTTGAAATAATCAATATTTGGTACCTTTTAGATAAGGCATACTTGTTTTAAACTAGAAAGAATTTATTGTGTTAATTATTGTTTATTTCTGCTGTAGTGGAAAACAATCGTGTGGACTTCGTAACTCCAAATCTTCTATTTTTGAGGTTAGTTGTTGCTGTGTTTGTTAATTGGTTCTTCTTTAATTCACTGGTGTATGCCACTATTCATGATCTATGTGGATGAATTAAACCATGTTGTTGTTGATGATACCTCAAAATATCTGTACTTTAGCTCCCACTAACTACTTTTACCGAGGGCGAGCATAGCGTGATACCGTCATACCGAGGTGCAACCCATTAAATGGGTGTACTTCCAACCCAATATCCAGCTTAGCCCACATAGGCTAAACTAGCAATCGTTCTGATATGCAATAAAAATGAGAAAGATACATGGCTAAAGACCTCTTGGGCTACATAGTAAGGCTAACGATAGACACGCATGGCATTTTCTATCTTGCAGCACTAATGGTGAGCTTAGTTTGCTCACACTTATTGACAAGAAATGTTCTTTAGTGTTGCAAAACATGTCTAGGAATGGGCATTTTCCATCATTTGTCAAGTCCAATGATGACAATACCTTATACTCAAGTTGAACTCGTAGAGATTTTCCATGCAGATAAACGCTTGGCCATTTCTTTTGATAGGTATATGTCATCGCTTCCTTTATCGATGATTATGTTAGAATCGATCATAAGAAGCGATAACAAATTCCCCAGCCCAAAATGGTTACCAAGCACATGGATAAGGGCATCTATTGTCAAAATTTTCAGAGCGCATTTGTTCAGTTTTAGAGGGGTACAAGATAGAAAATCTCAATACGCATGCACACATACATGCATATTCTATTTTAAATGTTCATTCATGTGTGTGATGCTGTTGGATGTCGAAGATTGTTAGACTGTATTCATTAAGTTGTTACAGCAGTTCTTTGTGAATATGTTGTTAAAAAGCCTTTGGCGCTTTAAGAGTGTTCGTACATCTCTAAAATTTAATTTAATGTTGCAGGTCAATTGTGCAGAAGATTATATGACAACTATCAGCCAAACAGGAATCTACATTGGAATTGAGGTATTTATGAGTAGTTTATACTCTATACGTTCTATTGTCATCTTAAGCTTAATGATTCACTTGTAAGTTGTGCCTTGGTTGAGTCAATATCACTGAGTCATTTGTCGATATCGTTCATTATGCACATATATAATGTACCATGCATATTTATATGAGGCATAGGAAATTTATATATGTCAATCTCTCCCAGCCGTCAGATCTGAGTGAATTGCTGGGGTATCTTCAGCCATAATATCACAGATGAGCCTTGACCATTGGATCTAAGATTTAACAGAGCAGGATATTTTATCTCAAAAAAAAGAAAAAAGTTACAAATCTGATGAATATGAAATTTGGTACGTGTGATCATCTAAAAAGGACATGCACCTTAAAAAAAATTAAAAAATAGATATATTTTTGAAAAATAAAATTGCCAAACTGCCCTGGAAAACTTCAGGGGTATTAGAAAATATTATTATTATTTCCCTTGGTGCAAGCCTATCAAAAGATTGGACGCCCAAAATTTGATGTCAATCGCATTTTAGAAAAAAAAAAAAAAAAATAGTGTTTAGGCATGACTTTGTTATTGAGGCCATCTTTGCCGTCCATTCAGATCGGACGGTTGGGAGAAGGATGGAATATATAAATTCACAAGTACATTATATCATCAATAACTTCACAAGTCTGAATAGAATAAATAGTATAAAAAGTAGGGAAATGTCAAATAGACAATAGTGAGCAATTTTGGATTTCATTACTATTGTTTTCATGGTACACTGTGAATTCAATGTTCCAAATTTTCTGACTTAAAGAAGTACATTCTATTGTCAATAATCCACTATTCTGAATATAGTGAATGGTATTGAAAGTAAGGAAATGGCAAATAAATAGGAATATTGTTGGATTTTATTATATTCTTATCATGGTACACTGTGAATTCAATGATTGGGTTCCAATTTCTATGACTTTAAAGAAGTAACTATAGTTGTGTGAAGCAGCGAAAGAAAAAAATTTTCAGCTGGGAAAACCTTGCCTTGTCAACTCCGGCTTGGCTGGTTACTGTGTCTTGTAAATGAGAAGCTTGGATATGCCTGAGTTTGTGAATATATAATTGTATATGTTGTGTTTTATCATCTCAACGGCAAGCTTGGATATGCCTGAGTTTGTGAATATATAATTGTATATGTTGTGTTTTATCATCTCGACGGCAACTCCAAGCTGTAGCTAGGTGTTTATGACTTGGTGATGAACTGGGTTTGAACCCCATCATGGCCAACATTGTTTTCTTATGGCTCTTCACATAAATTTTAAAGAACTTACCTGAGTTTTGCAAGTAAACTGTTCAGTTTGTGAGTCAAGTTGGCTTTGGTGAATGCTGAGTTGGCCTCCACCTTTGAGTTTTGAACACTGCTATGAAGAGTAACTTCTAGGTGGCATGGGAGCTTATTCCTTCAGAAACGTTTCGGGAATCTGTAAAATCATGTTGAAGTATTAAACTTGTTTTTTGTTTTATGAGCACATTGGCCCTATTCATCTAAGCAAAAATAAAGTCACTTCTACTTTTCTTGTTAATGTTCATGACAGCAACGCAAGAACAAGATACTTCAGCTGTCACATTCCCTGGCAAAGTGCGTTGGTGGAATTCTTAGTGCAGAAGATGATGCCATTTATGAGGTGACTATCACTTCTTTTTTTTAGTTTGCTTCTGTTTTATTGTGATGTAGATTACGAAGTTTGCTAAGTTACTTATATAGGTGGTGAACCTAGTTGAGGCTCCAGTACCAATACTGGGAAGTTTTGATGAATCCTTCTTGGAGCTTCCGCAGGATCTCCTTGTCACGGTGAGTAACTAACTACCTTTTCGATTATTGTGTGTGGCTTATGTATGCACTTGAGTACATTCTCCAAAGACATGCTTCTACTGGACTCTTTTTGCATCAGTGGGCAATTTTTACTCCATTGATCAAGTAATTACTTGGGATAAGATGTCCTGGCCATATTATTCTGCAAGTGTGAAACTATTAACTTGTCAGGTTATGAAACTCTTCAGAAGTTCAATTGTGATGGGAGGATGTTTTAGTTAGACTTAGCTTTTAGAAAGCATGAGGTAGAGAGTAGACAGAGAAAATAGTGCAAACATTTGGGTAAATTCTAAACTACCTTGATGCTGCATGCTCCCTAGCAAGATACACTCCATACTAGAGAGGGAATAATAGCCCAAGATTTTTGGAGCAATCATGTAATGCTTATGAGGGGAGATATCATCATATTCTGAAGAATTTAAAATTTTTTGTATTATAGTACAGATCTATTTCGGTAATGGGGTCGGGGCATGGTGTTTAGGGGGGCAGGTGTCTCAACACCAAACACTTCAAGAAAAAAAAATACAGATCTATTTCCTTGCTATATGATTCGCTTCTAAGAATATGAGTGCATCCCTTGTGTTAAAAAGAATTTTGAATCATGTTGATCAAATTTACTACCATATCTGCCATAGCCCAGATTTTAGATATATAATCTTAAACCTTGAGTGGAAGAATTGTGACAGTTGTACATGAAAAACTTCAAACTGCTTACTAGTAATCTTTCCATAATAACTTTTTAATGATGATTTTACAGGTTATGCGCAAGCATCAGAAGTACTTCTCAATTGTGGATGCATCTATGGGCAAGCTATTGCCATTCTTTATTTCAGTGAGGCTGCCTAACCAACCAATGCTATCTTTAGTAAATTATGCAAAGCAATAAACTTTTTTCACCTTCACAAGACATCTTTGGTGCTTGAATTATTCGATGTTATATTTTTTAGGTAGCAAATGGAGTGATCAATGAAAGAGTTGTGAGAAAAGGAAATGAAGCAGTACTGAGGTGAGTAGCAGATAATGCCGCTTTATCATATCATCAAAGCCTTATCCCAACTATTTGGGGTCGGTAGATAATGCCACTTTACCTAGCTGAATAAAGAAGTGATGCAGGGAAAATAATAATAAACTAGAAAATAAAAATGAAAATAAAGGTTTGAGAGATTATACCCTCTCTCAAGATCTCTTCACAAGATCAAACGCTTTCCTTAATTTTTAAGAAAAAATAACCAGAAAAATAATAAAATTAAGATTTGAATTCTCCTAAATTTTATTTGCATCAAGGAGGACTATAAAGAATCAGTGTGCCATATTACTTGTGATCATTTAATGTACTTTGATGGGGATGTAAAAGTAAGCCATGGGGAAAATTTTGGGAAAGGGTCTCTATAGCATATGGTATATTCCAGTTTTCTTTGACCAGCAATATTATTTGCTTCTCCCATTCATATGCATAAAATAACAGATTTCTCTTCATGAGCTTCTTGTTTTATGACATAAACTTTATTTGCATGTACAGAGCTCGGTATGAGGATGCAAAGTTTTTCTATAATCTGGACATACAAAAAGATCTTTCCGAATTCCGAGCTCAACTTGGAGGGATCCTTTTTCATGTAATCCCAATCCATCAGTGGTAGAATCTTTCTAAAATTTTATTTTATGCATATAATTTTTGCTGCTGAACTAAAAAGGATGATGCTGAGCTAAACAATAATAATGCTTCATAAAACAGGAGAAGCTGGGAACAATGCTGGACAAGGCCATGCGCCTCGAACTGATTGTTACAAAATTAAGCTCTGCTATTGGCTTGGGGGATGAAAACATACCGATTATCAAACAAGCTGCAGCATTAGCATTGTCAGATCTTGCCACATCAGTTGTTATGGAATTTACTTCTCTCTCTGGAATAATGGCCCGCCATTATGCTTTACGAAATGGTTATTCTGAGCAGGTATGCTTGTCTTTTGCTCGGTAATGCATATCCATATATTTTCTTATGAGTCATTGGAGTCTAGTCGTTTCAGTTAAAGAAAGGACATACAGCAGCACTAAATTCTCTTGGGTATTTCTCCTTGCTCCATTACTCTTGAATTTTCTCATAGATGTATATTCTCCATGGCACGCACAAAATTGACTATTGAGAGTCATTTATTTTATAGTCCCACTTATTCAAAATATAAATACCACAAATTCAAAAAAAGAAAAGAAAGTCAAGAAACTAAGCAAATTTAAAGCTACATCCATGGAAGGCTGAGGTTTCCAAGTTAGTCGCATGCTCGAGCACCTAGACTAGCAGGGATTTTGATTCTAGTGAGTCTTGAGGAAAGAATTGGGAGGTTTGAATCAGTTGGAGTATTGATATATCTTCAGAAGCCTATGTGGATCTGGTGGTGGCCTCTCTTGATGTAGATTGGCCACTTCTGATAATTTGCCGTTTAAGACAAATTCCTAATGGGCATTATTTAGTAGGGGCCTTCAATTGCCATGCTTTTGTCCAAATTTGCACAAAGATGATGGACACCTCTTTATCCATTCCAATGTTACAAAAACCGGGCGATCTAACCGGTAACTGGCCAGTTAGATCGGAACCGGCCCCTTGTAGGTTCCAGTTTCGGGCGGTCTTGGTGATCGCCCGGCATTTAAAAAAAATAAAAAAAATGTATATAAAATCTTAAAAATAAGGAATTTGGTTTGTAAGACATTTTTAATACTTTGCATTATGGTAAATATTAAAAAAAAATTTGGTCATTAATACTCACTTTTATATTTTCCCATATTTTTCAGAAAATTTTAAAAATACCCTTAAGCACAAATCGATTATTTAAAATCCATTTTTTCATTAATTTTCAACTCCATTTGAATGTGCGTTGTTTTAATCATTCTTTATATACTTTTCATATTTCAGTAGATTTTTTTTGTATATATATATTTTTTTTTGCAACAATTTTTTGACCGCTTGAGACTTTCCCAGTTAGAATGGTTGAATCGGCCGGTTTAGCGGTTAGGCCGGTTAAACCGCTTCCGGCCCCATGTCCGGTTAACCATTCCGGTTCAATTTTGCAAACACTGATCCATTCTAAATTTTTTGTTAGAGCTTTAGAGTCATTTCCAAAATATTTTTGGCATCACTCCCGTTCGTTGTAGCCCTATCTGTTCTTGTGTGAGACTTATTTTATATGAAATTATCATCCGTTGACCATTTTCTCTTTTTCCGGAGAAATATACTCTGATGCAATGTAGTAGACAAACTGTGTGCTGCAGCGCCTCACATTGAACGATTGAGATGAAGCATTTGGAAGCTCAAGTCTGTCACTGTTTCCTTGAGAGGAGGAACGATTCATCATCACAATCGTCCATGTGGCAACCGGTGGTTGAGGTGCCAAGCAGCACAGCTTGTGTACTGCATGCGTCTCATTTTTTTTTTATTTTCTCTTTTTTCTGTGTTTAGGGGGGAATGTCATTATGACCCCTAAAAATCCAACTTATTTCATGGTAACCCCCCACCATTTATTCCTATCAACCGGCATTAAGAAATCTATAAATATTTCCATCCCCTCCAAATGTCCATGTCATATTTTTTATTTCCATCCTTGATTGGGCCCCAAACTAATTCTTAAATGACTCTCACGTCCTTTCTCTCGCTTTCCTCCTTATTTCTTACTTCTCAAAATCATTATACCCAACCTTTTTTTTTTTTTTCGAAACTGCCATAAACCCAGTTTTTTTTTTTGGTGAATCACAAAAGTACATGAATCACTACCAATGTGCTCCATGCTACCATTAGCGCAAGTGTGAAGAGAGAGAAGAAGGGTGCAAAGGGCTAGGTTGGGTTTTGAGAAATGAAAAATAAAGGGGGAAGAGAGATAAAGTGAGTGTCATTTGGGAGTTTGTTTGGGGCACTTAATGATGATTAAATAAAAAGGGGGGTATGGACATTTGGAGGAGGTGGAATGAAATATTTATAGACTTCTCAATGCCACTTGACAGGGATAAAAGGCCGGGGGTTACCATGAAATAAGTGAGTTTTTTAGGGGTCAAAACTACAATGTTTCTCCTTGTGTTCATGATAAATACAAGCATCTTGCTTACAGAATAGCTAATATCATAGATGCAGACTTTCTTGAATTTTACGAATGTGAAGACCCCTAGAAGTTGCATATATCTACTAAGAGACATCCAAATTGATAATTGCCTTGCCCTCTTTATGGAGCATTCCATGCCAAAAGCGGAGGAAATCTACTGTTTGTTTTTCCTGTTTTGTCTTATCTTCCAAATTGTGCCCATGTAATTGATTGATTAGTTCAGTTTTCAAATAATTTGTCTTTATCTGCCAGACTGTATTTTATAACTTTCAAAGTTACAACTCCATTGAGAAAATTCGAGTAAATATGCACTTATTGTGCAGGTTTCAGAAGCAATATCTGAGATGGCACTTCCTAGGTTTTCTGGAGATGTCCTTCCAAAGACAGATGCAGGGATAGTGTTGGCTATTGCTGACAGGTCAATTACGAGCTTGAATTTCTTGTCAGTTGCCCATGCATTCCTTTTAGTTAATGGGAGACAGCTTCTCTTGTGCATTTTTTACTCATTCAGTGATTGTTTTTTTTTCTGTACAATCACTTGATATTTTCCATACATTGCCTCAAACAGCCATGCAAACAGACTCTGACTTCCACTACTTTTGCATGTATGCTTTATGTGCATTTTATAGATTAGATAGTCTTGTTGGTCTATATGGAGCTGGATGTCACCCAACTTCCACAAACGATCCCTTTGGTCTGCGGAGGATCTCATATGGTCTTGTGAGTAACCTGATGGAATTTTGTCAGCCAATTTTTCATAAGTTTATCAATTGATTCTAATTTTATAGTTTTAACAATGATTTTGATTATATTGACAGATAACAGCTAATTTTACTGTTGCTTTGATTTTGGTGCAGGTCCAAATTTTAGTGGAAAATGAGAAAAATTTGGATCTTAGAAATGCTTTGACTCTAGCAGCATCTGTTCAACCCATACCTGTTGATGCACATGTTCTAGAAGATGTGAGGATCATTCCTTGACCATTTTAGTTAATGTATTTTTTCTTGATGTTTGTTTTGCTGACCTATCCAAGGCATATACGTTAGGCTTTTCAATTCATTACAAGGAGATTGGAGCAATTTTTGGTATGTATTTTCTCGTCACACCAATGATCTACTTTTACTCATTTTTTCATTGTCTTTTAAAGAACCATCTAGACCCAGTTATGCCCTTCCTCCCTAACTCCCATGGAGTCTAACTTCTTTCTTTTTTGTATGTTGCTTAATGAGTGAGTGAGTGAGTCAGAGAGAGAGAGAGGTGGGGGACATTGGGATCACCTAAAACACTGATATTGCTTTGTGAGGAATATTGGGTGTTGTTTTAGTGATTCCCCTTTATTGTTTTGACAATAAAATCAGAAAATTGATCTCTCAAAGGAAATTAAAAAATTGAATATACTATTATTGCGTAGTGGTATATTATACACACATGCACATTTATGCCACTTGGAGCTGATTGGCAGGTAGACAAAGACATAAGTGCTGAACTTGTCCGTGCCGTCCTATCAGAACGTGCCAATTGCCCGTGTCTCGCGGCAAAATCAGCAATGAAGGTTAGCTTTGAACTTTAACACCTGCAGGTTAGATATTGTTTCCCTTGTCACATACATCAGGAGAAATATTGTCTAGTTCAACATTAGTCATTTATGAATATCAAAGAAAAGAAAAATGGTGTATTATATACGAGATGAACCAATAAGAAAGTAAGAAACTATTCTTTATGCTCCCCATATAATCACAATTTTTTTTATTCGTAACTGTAATTTTAATAGCATGGAAAAATCATAGCTTGTCTTCTTCAATTAGTGTGTCAATTTTTTGTTTTTTGATGCTATTTGGCTTCAATCCTCGTTATGAATCATCTATATAGCCGTTGGTACCTTTGGGTGGTACTTGATGTGTATGCAGTTGGAATCATCTATATTTGGCTTCAATCTTTTGTTGATGGGTATAATGCTTGATGAATGACTAAAGCCGTTGTTTGGCGACTTTGGTTTCATCGAGTCTAGTGGCCAAATGAAGAGAGAGGAAGAGTGAGAAACAGCAGCGCAAAGAGTTTGTTAGAGATCTTAACGAGTTCTCATGAACAAAGACAGTGTCCCATGCTACATGCATGCACCACACATGCAGTGTGTGTGTGTGTGTGTGTGTGTTAGAGAGAGAGAGGCTTTGGTTATGTAATTGAAAACATGAGAGGCCCTAGGACAGATAAAAGAGTGCAATGATATGCCTGTTTGACCCCTTTCAAACCGATTTCTAAGCTTGTCATGGCAAGTTTTTGCAGTCACATTGATTTTGCTTGGGTGAGGATGTTTTTGTGATTTCCATTGTCGACAGTTTTAAAATGTAATGCTTGTGTTTCCTCTAAGGTCTTGTTGTTTAGCTTGTTCTATGGAATAACAATATGGTCGTATTGATATTTGAACGGTAAATTGTCTTTTTCTCTTTAATGTAGATGGAGATCTTGTCAAAAAGTGGGCATCTGCCGAAGATTGTAGAAGCTTATTCTCGGCCCACAAGAATCATTCGAGGGAAAGAATTGGTCTTCGATTGGGAGGTCTGTTAAAATCCTTGTTCCTGCCATATATATTATACGTAGAAATTGACAATTATTGAAAATGACATTGATATATTCTAATTATAGCATAGGACATCCAAATTTTGAATTGATAGTGAAGAATATCTAAGCTCTCTCTCTCTCTCTCTCTCTCTCTCTCTCTACTACTATATATATATATATATATATATATATATATATATATACTACTACTACTACGTACGTACGTACGTACGTACGTTAGTAGTAGTAGTAGTAGTAGTAGTACGTAACGTTACGTTACGTTCTTTACGTTTCTTTTACTTTCG